TGAATGAGTTTAATTAAAAGTTACCAATAATTATATATTAGTATTTTATAGGAAGGATGTAAATAAATTTAATAGACTAAATAAAATATCCTAAATATATGCCGTATTTCAAAGAAAAGTAACTAAAGAGTTTTGATGTTTTATCGTAACTAAGCTCAAAAAAGATTGTTTAGCAAACTTTGATAGTATTCAATTTAAACCATTATGACTGTTAACATAATATAATCTTATTACTCTTAGCGTACTTATTATATTTATACAATCTAGAGTATTTACAATAAGTGGATATAAAAATGTATAATGAAGTGACCGAATACTAAATATATCAGGTAATATTACACAATTATTAAACAAACATTCTAACGTGTAAAACAACTTTAGATAAGAGTCATTGTGTTGATTATTGTTTATTTATTTAAGATAAATAATGTTTGTTTTATGCTGGTTACATAAGTATCACAATTACTTTAAGAAATACAAATAAACATTTGTAGATAATGTTAGAATATCATATGGGTTTTGTGGAGATTGTAGTAATTTCAATGGTTAAGATCATGAATGAGTTGAAGCTAGACCACTATGGAAAACCTGGAAGCATTGGATGGCCGTTTCGTCCTATCGTGGTTAATGTTAATCAATCGTCTTAGACTTGATTATTCCCTCGTTTCCACATCAATCACTCTCTGTTCTCGTTCCCTTTTTCTTCGATCTTATTAACCTTGTGTTGCCAGGCATTTCATTTTCGATTGATGATATATACTAATTATATCTGTCCACATCAGTAGTATATACCACAACATATCAGGTTCAGATGGATTTTCATGAGTATACGGATACAATGACATTAAATTACTGGACATGTTGTGTATGTTTAATATATAATACTGGATTGTTGGAAAGTTAAAAACGTTTATGTAAAAAGGCTACTTCACCAGAATCCTATTTCACAATCAAGCATACTATCAGAAGGATTAGTTCAAAGAGAATGCAAATTAGAAACTTTTGTACAACAAAAGCTCTAGCAATATACTAATTCAAACTCTGATCTATGTGTATAAAAATAACATATTCAATCTCTCATTCTACCGTAGTCATGAACCTTTCTTTCTATCTCTCATTACTAATCCTTTTTAATTTTCTCAAAATCATTAGTTAGTTATTATTTGTAACATTTAATTATTCTTTTCTTTGTATTTATCAAGTGGACATTTACCAGTCATTCATAAACAAGCTTCATCTTAAGTATTTTCGTAACATAACTTTGATAAAACGGTTTTTCTGAACAATTTATGATAATCTGTACTGTGTGCTACCTATATATACACATAAGTAGTATATATCATTAGTTGGAAATAGAATGTACTTCAGTAGAAAATCGAGAAGGAAAGAACGAAAACGGAAAGCAATTGATATGAAAATGCCAAAAACAATGAAATCTGAGACGGCGGACTGATATTTGAAAAAGAAACAGTCAAGTTTGAGACAATGGATTGATATTTTGCAAATTAAAGATTTACTGTATGGTTCTCAGATTTAAGTGAGATATTCTGTAATTTCGTGTTTAAATACATTCAATTGTCCCCACTCATGCTCGTGTTAACTACAATTCCATACCACATCGTAAAATTGTGCAATAGCTTTATTGAATTGCAAATTGTTATATTCAATTTATACGAATATTCGTCAATATTAGAACGAATAGTTTGACAGAAAATTATATTTGAAATAATCTCAGTGATTGAAATTTAAATGACTCCAACGTTTCGTCCAGCCAACTTGTCTGGACTTCTTCAGCGTAATAAACAAAATCAAAATCATCAAAGAAGTATATAGCTTTTTAACAATCAAAACTATACTGTGTTACACCAATCATTTTTAGATGTTGATTTTTGTAAAATAGGATAAAAATGAGTCAGTCAACTACAATTCATGTGAAAATTCAACTACATGGAAATAAATAACTGAATAACAAATTGTATGTGGATGAGTGTGTAGGTATGCATGTATGTATGGGATTAATTATTGATGTTCTCTGTTGATATGTTATGTATGAAGGAATAAATAAATAAAAGTGCAAGTTCAAGGTTGATAAAACTGTTAATGTACATGTCAAACAAATACATAATTTCAACAGTTGAGATCATGAGTCAATTGAAGCTAGACCATCATGGAAAACCTGGAAGCACTGGTCGGCCGTTTCGTCCTAGTATGGGACTCCTCAGCACTGCGCATCCACGATCCCGCGCCCCTCGAGATTCGAACCCAGGACCTATCAGTCTCACGCCAGGCACATGACCAACTAGACCAGTGAGCCGGCATCCAACGGTGTTAATGTCTAACCTCAACCAATCCACGAAGCTGCGCCACCATACACCATTGTCTTCAGTGAGCTGATATCTCACAACAGACCTGATTGAACTCCACTGGTGACGGCTTCTCACTAGAACTCCAGAAGTATCTCTTGAAGTCAGTCACTAGTGAGCGGATGATTATTATCAGAAGGGGTTTTGTGGAGATCTTAGAAATTTTCACAGGTTGAAATCATGAGTCAATTGAAGCTAGACCACCATGGGAAACGTGGAAGCACTGGACGGCCATTTCGTCTCAGTATGGGACTCCCCATCAGTGCGCATCTCCACGAACCTCTTCTGATAAGAAACTTTTTCGTATAATTTTTCTAAACAACATGTTTTTTTCTTCTTTATTCTGAAAATAATATAAACATCATATTCAACTGATTTCAATGAGTCCATTATGAAATGCCTATTAAATTGATCTATTCAAGTTAAGATCATTTGTCAATCATTTTATTATTGATGATTTAATTTGTTTTTGGTTGTTTTTGTTTTCTTCAAATCTTCGAACATGGTTCCCTCTTTTTGATTTGATTCATCTGAACTGATAACTATCACATATAACAATATGTATATTTATATGTTAAGAAATCCATTTTTATTCACACTGTTACAAATGAATAAAACGGTTACTACTATTAAATACGGGCCTCTTGTATATGAATGTGACAAAATCAATTTTATAGATATTTACTGAAATTCTCTTTACAAACCAAGTTTTTTTTATTATTAGGCTATTGCAATAATAGAACATACATGTTAAATATGGTCATATATATCATAATAACGAGAAATGGAAACAAAACCCCATTAATTTGGTTCACTTAAATCCTAATCATAACTATGATTTATCTAATCTAAAAAATATATAAAGTGTTTGTTTATAAAGTGACAATTATTTTATGCAACTGAATAGCTTAAGAAAAAAAATTGTTTCACAAAATGTCTAATGGATCACTTAAAAACATATTATAAGCTTAGTTTTTGTATGAAATTCGAAAGTAAACAGTTATGAGCAAAGATGAATAGTGTCCAGTAGTAGGATCTAAGAGATGTGTTTCGTTCTATTTTGGATTCATCAGATCGATATATCTGCATATCAGAGTTGATGTTCGCTCCGGGACTTGAACTCAGTACCGTTCACTTCAAACGCCATCACGTAATCCACTTAGTTACTGAGTACTGATAGCCACTTGTTTGTGCAATGAGATGAAGTTTAAATTCAATTTGGTATTGTTTTACTTGAATCTTCCCATTGATGATTAGGACTACAATTGATCAGTCTCTTATTGGCATATGTGCATCCTGTTCGGATTGCCTCGATATTGTCTTCATTCACCAGTATTATAAATAAGACGAAACACGTGTCATGGATTCCACTATTAGCCACTATCCATCTTTGCTTAAAATCATTTTTTGTTTAAAATGCATTATGAAATTGAGTTTACCGAAAATTAAACATTTTTTTCTTTTTAATTATAAATTGTATGTTCATTTTTAATTTTTAATAATAATACAATGACTGTAGTCAATAAAATTCTAACTTTTCATTAATCATACTGATATGTGGGCGAGAATGATAATGATCGGTTATCTGCCTAATCAGACATAACTCCGCCTGGAGTCCTTCCGGGGGCTACTGCCTGTCTCAAGCCCGGATAAAGGAGGAGGGTTGTGCATGGGGTTAGCGACACCATCCCGTAGAAAACTAACTCGCTAAAAAAACGCTAGTCAGACATGTAGATAGTCTGAAAGGTGTCACATGAGTTATGTATTCCCCTATCCTTATTATTACCTATTATTGGCTGTTCATTATTGTTGAATTGTGTCGGGTTTTTTTGGTGTGGAAATATATTTACATTGCAATCAGGCTAATCACGTGTTCATGATCTGAGTTGTGTTAAAGTCCTGTAGAATAAACACTGGGAAAGAATCTGGTGTAGATATTCGTCTAAAGGAAATTAACATTTCATTCGCGTAAACGTGGGAAACCCAACCGTTATATCACATGCATTATATTTAGCCAATATTATTTATATTCGACCCTATTGTTAAATATGATTAAATAAAGATTTTATATAATTAACTATATTACCACAAGGTTTATCTATTAGAAGGAAACCTAATTCATCTATATACTTTAAAAGTATATGTCAAAAGAATATACTGTAACTGGGTATTATCCATTTTAAGCTGTTAAATATATCTCTATGCCTCATATTTAACAGAGTTAAGCTATTAACAAATGAATTTTTATTCATGTTTCTAGGTTAATATTGAATAAGATTTAAGAAATTGAGTACTAATTACTGCGTAATCATGTAACGTTAAATCAGCCTACTTTTTTTTAACTCACTTATTAGATAAAAGCTTGAAACATAATAAACCCTTATGAATTTGGATCTTAAAATTACTATAGCAATTATTCACTATTATCTTTTCTGGAAACATCTAGATCTGTAAAGTTCTTAACTAACTTGTCACTGATTGATCATCATTGAAAATTATTATCAGTTTTGAAATACTATTATAAATATAGAATGAAAATTTAGTTAAGATATATAATTTACGTAGTTCATCTATCTTCTAAATCTTCATATCTTTTACAAAATAACGTCAATATTCAATATTTTAATTAACTTTTAGACGTTGCCAAAGATGCTGGATCTTTAACAACAACAACAAATGATGATCTTGAAGCATCAATAATTGCAGCTGAAGAAAAACGTCGAGAAAGATTTGAAGGTTTAGAAGAGCAAAGAGAAAATATGAGACAAACAATTAGAGATAAAGTAAGTCAACGATTTTCTGGTATATATATACGTAATTACTTACGCCTGATGCTCCCAGTGGAGCATAGACCGCCGATCAGCATTCTCCAAACTTTCCTTTCTAGTTCTATCCAATTGTAAGTACTGTACTGTACCATATAAAAGCCTAAGTAATAAATGACTTTTGAATTTATTTTATCTGTATGTGATAAAGTTATGGACACTTAATTAATTAAGTCGAATCAGTTTTCCAACTTTATTTGTTTACAACTGTCAATAATAAAGGTTTAAGCATAAATGAGAAATATAATCAGCATTTCATTTTGTGTAAATAACACCATAATTATATCTTATGCAAGATAATCTTATTTAGAGGATTGGTAGATATAAAAAATTTATGTCCAATTTCAGATCAGTACATATATAACAATAATGCCTATTATTTCTACCAATATTATTGCTGTGCTCTCTGTGATTTTAATTTCTCAGTGATGATATATATATAGGGAGAGAAAGATAGAGCCTATGTTAGATTATCTCCCATTTTATGACAATTTCGATAAAAGGAATAGAACATATAATCAGTTTTATTGAGCATCAACCAGAAGAATACCTATTTCCTTGATAACATTAATCAAATTATTAATTTACATGAATGCATTTAATAGACAAGTATAGTTTTCATAGTTTATATTTCCGTAAAACATTATGAAATGTTATGTATGTTAATGTATTATAGTTAACTAACTAATATCCATTAAATCCTAATGAATAACTAGATGTTTAGCCTTTTAGTGGTAGGTGAAAGTATATTTTATGTACCGATGCTGAATTGACCAATGTTATAATATCCGGTATCGTCCAACAAAACAACAACAAAAAAAAACAAGTTCAAAATTACCAATCACTAAACGGATTCAATTTATAATACTAAACATTAACATTAAAAATCATAATAGTAAAATTACTAGTCCTAGTCATTAAACTTTTGACTAATTTACTTGTGATTAGATATAATGTTTAAGTTGTATACAAAAGAGTAAGGTGTTCATGGGAAAGATATAAATGTTCTGATTGCTCCTATAATCATGAGATCCACGCTTTGAATCTTTTTTAGAAAAAGTCTTTTACGGAAATTCATTCATAAACTTTGTCTAAAAGATAACTTTTTAAATCATCTAAATACATTTCATGCTACTAAAATAATTAAATGGATATGTTATGGCTAGGATATAACACCATTTTAAAGACTGAAATATTTTGAATCCCAAAGTATGATTGAGTAGGATCAAGGAGTTAGGTAATTCCATATTTTACTTTTCGGCGAGACTCTAATTTATGGACGACCTTTGAACGAATCTTAGGTGACCTTGATAAATATTAGCCAATCAGCAAACAGTCAGTATGGAGTAGAAATACATTATACAAAACCAAGGAAATAATGTCGATACACTTCTTATACGTGGTTCAAAAACTTGTCAAGGTTAGAAAGAGGTTCACAGGTTCTAAAATCGTAATGCATGCAGTAGAGGAAACCATCCACGTGGCTACAGAATAGTCGGCCTTTCGAGTCATGATAAAGTTTCAAAAGCTCTTTCAGTCTCGACCATGTAGCTTCAATATTGTTTATGTGCACTCCGGTTGTTGAGTGCACAAAATGCTACTTGTGGATAACGACACGATACACATAACCAAGACTATGTAGGGGTCTGTACGCTCTCCAAACATCTATATATATTTTAGTACCTAGATGCAGCCAGTGTTACTGGTGCTTTTATTATCCAGTTCGCATTAATTGTCATAATTTGCCTTAGTTAGGGATTATATATGGGGTTTTCATCACGAACTGATATCAGCTATAATGCTAGAAATCTATTTAGCCAAATGGATGAAAGGCTTTCGCGTTAAAATCCGAGATCTATTATCTTATACCTGATTGATTCGTCCACAAATTATAGTCTCGCCGTTTTATTTGTTATAGCCGCTCAATTATCATGTTTTGTACAAAACTCCCTGTGAACCGATCGTACGTTAACATTAAGCATTGAAGTTGGCGCCGTAACCTTGAAATCTCTTACACGCCTCTGATTGGCTCGTTCATAAATTAGAGTCTTGCCTCCTTTCTTATAAACCCAGTAAGATTACATAATCTATCATAAACTATGTGGTTTGAAGTGATATGAAATATTCACTACACCAATATAAAGGAATCTGGAATATTTAGTTTTACAAACATAAACGAAAGGAACCGTGTGCATTCTTAAACTGTAATTTATTTTCAGATGCTTTTATTTTTAATTCTTTGAGTAATTGTTCTAAAATATTTCCAATTTAGGGGATTTGTAGATATTCTAGTATTTTAGCAGTTGAATTCACTAGTCTATCTAAGCTAGACAACGACTGAAGACCTGGAAGCACTGGATGACCGTTTCAACCTAGTATAGAACACCTCATCAGTATGTATACACGATTCTACGCACAAGACACGAACCCAGGTCCTTCCTTTTTTTCACACGAACGCTTAACTTCTAGACCTTTGAGCAGGGATTCAATGCGTGCGAGATCGTGAATACATACTTCTTAGGAGTCCCATACTAGGACAAAACGGCCGTCAAGTACTTCCAGGTTTTTAATGGTGTTCTAGATTAGATTAATTTGCGAATTCAACTGAAATATTTTATTAGAAATTGCTGTTTTTTTGAATAACTCATCTTTATGCTAAGTTTTAAACAACTGCGTAGAACAATAACTTGCATAAGATTCTTAATTTGCTATGGATAACATTTTATATTGTCTTAGATGATAGTTTTAATGTGATATCCACTTATTCTTATCGCAATACAATTAAAACTTTATTCTCAAAATACGGTTGAATTTACCTCATTACACTGATCACTTAACAACCACATACAATCTAGATAAGTTATTATACATAATTGTTGTATATTCAAACAATAATATACTTTGAATATAAGAAATTAAAGTATAGACACTACGTTTTTATGCAAAACAATCTATAAAGCTATGGTTAGAATGGTATAACATACAGTGATCCCAGGTTTTCTATGATGTTCTAGCTTCAATCGACTCATGCACTCAATTATTAAATTACTATAATATTCACAAAAACCCCTTCTGATAATAATCATCATATGCTCACTAGTGACTGAATTCAAAAGGTATTTCCTGGAGTTCTAGTGAGAAGCAATGACCAATGGAGTTCAACCGAGTCTGTTGTGCATTGTAACTCACTGAAGACAATGGTGGATGTGTCGCTCAATTTTATAGATTGGTTGAAGTTAGACATTAGCATCGTTAAATGCCGATTCAGTGGCCAAGAGTTTGAGCGTTCTCACTCTAGCCTGACGGTTCTGAGAACGAATCCCGCGAGCAGGATCGTGGATGTGGACTGCTGAGGAGTCCCGAACTGAGACGGAACAACCATCCAGTTCTTGCAGGCTTTCCATGTTGTTCTAGCCTCAATCGGCTCATAAACTCAACTATTAAATGACTATAATATTCACAAAAACTCCGGATAATATATTCATATGCATGAATTAGGCAGGTTTTTTCAATAAAATAAAGAGCAATCAAGTCTACAGGAGAACGAGTAAATTTATCAGGTCACGAAAAAAAGAAGAATAACAATGTCAAAATTAGTTGAGCAACAAAAGATTCTATGAAATAGATAGAATGAAGAAGATATTTCATACGATTATGATAGTGAGCATATTGACTATAATTAAAAAGTAAATATTCGTTAAATGGGAATGTGGGTAATTATAGTTAACACTTATTTTCCTATTCTTTCTATATATTTGTCCATATATAGACGTTTGAACTAATAACTACAATTTATATTGGAAAAAGGTAATAGTTTTTTTTATCAGATAAAGCCTAACTATTGAAATCAGTTTTGAGCTTTAATAATCATAAAAGCCAAGATTATTTTTTTAGTAATCTCACGGTTACTTATATTTTGTTTGTCTGAGATTTTAATACTTGCCATATATATCTTAGATTACTTAAATAACCTGTTATGACACGAGATGAAATATAGTAGAGGAGTCCCATACTAGGACGAAACAACCATCTAATGTTTCGAAGTTTACAGTGGTGGTCTAGCTTAGATTGATTCGTTAATTCAATATATAGTATTTGACTGACAATTTGTGTATATTAGCTTGAAAAATAAAACATTTTCCTGCACAATGTTTTGACTATTAGCTAACAAAAGAAATGTATACTGACTACTAAATGTTAACATAATATTGAATCGCTGAAAATTCACATCATATTAAAACACAGACATATGAACAAAGAATGTTCTTTTAAATAAGTTCTTTTAGGTTCTGCAAATGTATATCTAAAATAACAACCCCAAACGTGGCCACATTTAAGGTAAAATACATCGTTTAAAAATTGTACTATATGCATTTAGGTTCATTTTTGTACTGGTTGTTTGAATCTCCCCATTGCCGTTTAGGACTGTAGTTGATGAATCTCTTATTGACATATATGCATCCAGGGCGGATTGCCCTGATATTATAAGCAGAGATGGATGGTGGAGAGCAGTGAAAATAAGGACGTGCATTTCGTCCTATTTCAAACCCATCAGCTAGATCAACCTGGATTTCAGAGTTTATTTGTCACTTTGGGTTGCAAATTAGAACAAAATGATTAATGTTGCGATGACTAATATAAAACGTAGACTTGATTAGGTTTATAGGTCGAATGAAATTATCAGATGAATGATCAGAATAAATATGGTTAAAATGGGGTGTGAGAGATGACAATATAATTCATGTATAATCATGAAAACAAATTTTTCGAAGTATTCCACTGAATAGAATTAACTGACTTGTATTTCGACGAGCAGAGCTGAATCAAGCTGGATTCTTATCTGTAAATAAAAGAGTTACCGACCTATTATCGAATCTGCAAAACTCAATATTTTATGCAGTGATCTATAATTTATCGAATATCAAATTGTATAGTCACATTCAAAGTCAAAATTGTAT